TGCTCCTCCTAATAGATGAATTGAATATACAGCTGCTCCTTCACTATCTCTAAATTTTTGTTAAAAGCCAGGACTGATTGTGTGATCTTAACCAACTTATGTAGGGCATCAGAGAAGTCTGAGCTGGCCTTAATTAATCAGTAAAAATACCATTAAGTTCTGCAGTACTTGCTTGAGTTTACTTGACAAACTGACACATTCATACATGAGAAGAAATTCAGACTATTCCATTAAATATCTTTTAGTTAAGGAAAAAAAATCAGTATTTACATCACATATATATTTGTCCGTATTTATACCTGTCCGTGTCATATAATAATATCATTGCCTTGAATTTAATAATGTTTCCAACTGAGAGGCTTTATCTATTGAATTTTTTCTTCTGATTTTCTGTAACTCCTATGACGTTAGGGTGTTCCGATTGCTTCATTAAATACCTCTAGGGTCATATTTTGGTAGTTTTGTCTGGAAAGAGCGTGTCTAGAATGTAGTGTAACAGGCCTTTCAGGTTAACTGAGCACAGGTAGTGTTTATGGTAAAGAGGAGCTCGTGATCCAAGATGTTTTTCATGCCATGGTAATCTCTTATGTTATATTTTATGTTTTCCTAATATGAAAAATGCAGCAAATAATTGTCTTAGAAGCTGGAAAGCAATTCAAGTTCAGATTGCTAGGGAATGAAGTGACTTAATGATATGATATTTCTCTAATCAGCACCAGAATAATCAATTGTGAGCTGTCACTGTGGATCCCAGTCAGAATAGACCTGCATCAGAGGAGTCCATGTGCCTTCTTTCCCTTCCTTGCACACCACACTCAGCAGTGGCTGCAGGAGTTTACATGCAGGTGAAGGGAGTTCTGACAACTGGTTTCCTATCTCAGTGTTATCTCAGCAGCTTTATCTCTTTCGCTTCTGGTCTTTTTTGAGGATTAAATGGTAAAGCTCCTCCATCTGACTTCCTGTGAGTAACGTCCCTGCTGCTGTTCTGCACAGCCCTTTGCTGGCTGAGAATGAGCTTTGCACATGAAAATCGTTTAAACCAGACAGAAGCTTATTGGTCTCTTACCTGGATGTCACAGGAGCTTATGCGAGTTTTATGAAAGAATTCTGTGGGTTTTGGTGTTGATTTGGGTTTTTTTTTAAAGCCATGAGAAGACAATTAGTTGTTGGTTTTTTCCCAGAGAGAAATGTTGGTGTTTTGGCAGGGGGGGCTGGGTGGAAAGACAAAATACACAGCAAAAATCAAGTAAAGCTATATGCAAAATAGGAATATTTGTAAACTAACTATTAAACATAGGAACACTTTTCACTTTCTGGTTTTCAATAATGAAAGAATAGCGCACAAAAGGTTTTCTTTATTCTAGTATTGCTAATATGAATCTATCTGGAAAGTGAAATTCATTGTTTCTACTGTAATAGCAAACTTTATTAAACTGAGCAAGGTATCCATAATTTGATTAAGTCGTAGGTGAAGATTTGAACATAAAAACTGTAATGAATGATTGGTGTTTTGTACCCAAAACCTGAGCAAACCTGAAAATTCTCATAATTCAGAAATGTTTATGAACAATATTAATTTGGGATTATTGATGCCGAGCTGTTTTGTTGTTTAAAGAAATGCTATAATGTGCAACTTGTTATCCAGAAATAGAGAAAGAAGCACCAAACATCTCTCTTGTGATTAGTTTGTACTTTTATATTCTTACAGAACAGAAACGACTGCACTGACATCTTCAAGATGCCTTTAGCAACCTTGAATTTACTGGTACCTTTAAAAGATTGCTATTAATTGGTATTTCTGTGCACCAGTGTTGTTTTATTTCTTTTTGGTTTTTTTATCCAAGCAAATATGTGCATGATGAGGAAGTCAAATTTAGTCCATTTGTTGTCATGAAATATGGTAAGAAAATATTCATTTACCCCCTCCTTGAACAGACATCATAGTAAGTCCTAGAAATAGAATCCCGATAGCTGGAAAAGCACAGAATTTGCTTTATTAGATTTTATTTGTTTAATTTGCTTTATTTGATTTTACTTTAACAGAAGACTTCAGATACACTTAGGTGTATGTCTAGTGTCATCTCTAGGTACCTTTGTGGACATCTCAGATGAAATTATAATATAGGCAACATAAGGATTTTTAAAAACTAAAAATAGATGTTTTTTGTAGTAGTATGATTTAGCAAGGCCTTTTTAGTTCCCTGAAGATCAGAAGAACTGATATTACCAGTCATGGGATATTAACCTCTGGAAGGGATGGAGTTTATAGGCTTTTGACTAAAGACTTGTAAATGGCTGTTGACTCCAGATTTTATTACCTTAGAGCAGTAGTAGGAGGAGCACAAAGCAGAATTACTTTGTGGCCTGGTGAAGCTGAGAAGTGCAGCCACAATTGCCAGGGTTTCTCTTCAGGGCAATTTCAGCATTTGTATTTCCTCTGCTCTCAGTATGTACAATGCATGTTTGACGTGGATGGACACACAGAAAACAACAATTAATAGAGAAAAGCCAGCATGCATGAAACACAATCCCTCCTCTTCAGGGATTGTTAATGACAGGTTATTTTTTAATTCTTTATCTTTAGTTTGCTGCTTCTAAAACTTCATACAAATCTAAAACATCACAGATTCCAGGCTAGAAATACATTTACTATGAAACCACTCTGGTGTTATTGGTAGACTTTGCTGAAATAATTTAGCTGTGCTGACTATGAAGCCAGAGGATTCCTGCTAAGGAATTCCTGTGGCCTCTTAGCTTTTGGGGCCTGTGCCCAGCAAGCCAGACCTCTGGACTTCCCTGCTTTGCTGAGTCTTTCTGAGCTGTAGTGTATCTGCTCGTAGGGAATTTCTGTATTAGAATGATTCGGGACTTTCATTGAATTAATCCCATTGAACATCATCACCTTCTCCAGAACATCCCAGTCATTCCCGAGTGTGAGGTGAAACACAGCCTGGCTTGACTTGTTGTTCAGCTCATAGTGCTTGGCAAAGGAGCTTTTGAACTTGAAGAGACAAAGTGCTCAGGCTGTAACGGGGACCTGCCTGGAGCCATCCTTCTTCTTCACGCCTGAGGCAGCAGATAGAAAGTGGACATAACCCTTGATGTCACTTGCTTAAAGGAATATAAGCCCTTTAAATGTTAGATTATATATTTCTTTTTATATTTATTAAGGATTTGTCTAGTAATTACAAAAATGGGCTCTTAAGGAATCTATTCTATTTTGTTGCTCTGTTTGGAAATCTGTTTAAGGAAGGCAGCTCCCAGAGTTGATGGCCAGGGACTTGTACTTCCTACTCACAGAAAAATTGACTGTGTGGAAGGTAATATATAATAAGATAATACATACCGAGGTACTCTGACAACCTGTCATGTACTTTCCCCAGATAATTGTCGCTTGTGGTAGGTAGAAATTCTATTCTGTACTTGGAGACAGATCTTGCTTTCATTGCGGATGACATGAGATAATATCCCATCCATGATAACATGAGAACATTCAGAACAGGATAACATACAGGATAACACGAGATAACATCCCATGCAGAAGCCTTTGGGAGGGGGAGTGGCTGGGAATACAGGAGCATCTGTTTTGTCCCCACTGCAGTGAGAATTTCTCATCTGAAATTTAAGAATAAGAAAGATCTTTCGCAACCTTTCTTGTCAATGTGCAAGGTAGAAGAATTAAAGTGTTGTGCTGGGAGTCCCAAAAGGTGGAAGAATGATGGTGACTTTCCTGAGGAAATATTAAGGGAACTGTAGCCACTGCTGGCCATTGCTCCCCTGGCACTCCAGCACAGCCAAGGGGGATCACAGTCACTCCTTTGCTCACCAGTAGCTCTGTCAAAACAAAGGATGAGCTCCAAATTATGGAACAGGTCTGTTCCACTGCAGTCATTTTGCAACAGCAGTTTTGGCAGTGCGACAGAGTAGCTTTGATTCAAAGCAGATCAAATCGAAGTTTCTGTTATCTGGAGGTTAAAGGCTACTTTCTTGATTGGGTCTGAAGTCCAAATTAAACAACCAAACTGACCAAGCTATTTTAGTTCTGTAACATCTATTCTATTTTTAGATTAGAATGTTCTTTTTATAAATCATGGAAAATTAAACACAGACACGAGTTATAAAATAGTCTTTTGCACTTGCTGTAACTTACAGACTTTTTCATATTTAAAATAAGTCTAAATCGAGGATTTCAGTCCAGGTATCTGTCAGAAGAGAGGCCTTGGAAAAACATTTTATATCTCAACCTAAATTCACTCCATTTGCAGAAGATTTTTGCAGATTGAAACTTTTTGTTTACTACTTTCAAGATTTGTATAAATACATATGGAATTTGAAAAATCATGAATTAAATTTCCTTGAGCCCTGGGTTTAAGATTGGGATAAAACCTTTGACAAACTTGAATGAGAGAAGATTTCAAGTATTTCTGTTATTTCGAGGAAAACCACCACTATTTAACACCAACTACTTTTTTTTTCTTAATAGGAAAACCCTTAGGATTTTCAGGCACTTGGGAAGAATGATGATTAGAATTTGCAAAACTGAAAAATTAATTGTGAAAGACTTGGGATTCTATTCATGTGCATGCTATTGAGAGATGCAGTTAAAGTCAGTGTTATCTGTCTATTAAAAAAAAAAAAAAAGGTGATTTTTTCCCCACTTATACTGCTTTAATTTCTTTATACCAAAGACAGCCTTTCTGTTCTAAGGCTGAGCCCTGGCTGCCAATTATCTCGTTTGCTGTTATGACTTGAGATGTCAGAGCCTTCCTAAGAACCTCAAAGCTGAATTAACTGCCCAGTGCCAGCCATGCAGTGTCATTATACATCTAATGTGTTATCTGATGACAAGCCAAAGGGTAGATGGGACCTAAACACTCCCCTAAAACCTACACCTGAGTATGAGTTTGCATCTCAGCCCTCTGGATGTGAGACAGTTGGGCCTGAACACATTACAGAGATAATGAACTTCTTTTAAAATGTCTTTGTTTGTTTGTTTTCAGGGATTACAATGGTTGACACAGAAATGCCGTTTTGGCCCATTAATTTTGGAATTAGTCCTGTGGATCTGTCTGCAATGGATGATCACACCCATTCCTTTGACATAAAGCCATTCACCACTGTTGACTTCTCAAGCATTTCTTCCCCACACTATGAAGATATTCCTCTAGCGAGAGCTGAGCAGTCAAGCATTGATTATAAGTATGATATCAAGCTCCAGGATTGCCAAAGTAAGCTTTTACTTTTTTAAAATATTTTCTTCATGGTCAGTCTGCTTCATTGTCTGGAAGGTAGCAGAGATGTCCACGAGATATTCTTGCAGGGCAGATAGAAAAGACAGAATACCTATGGCAGACCTTCACCCTTCCAGGGCAGCACCTGGAGATTAGGCAAAGTATCATCAAGTATCCAAAATTACATGAAACACATTTTATTAGAAGCATGAACCCCTGCATTTGTTTCTGATACGGTCCTTTTCCTGTACTTTGTGCTTAACCTGGCCTTTGAAGCTGTATGCACAAGATGCAGAATAAATCTCCTGGCTGTTAAGGAATGCCCCAGCATACACAGCATATTAATTATTAATGTGTGCAGCTTTTAAATTCCAAATGACCTAAGAAACTGATGGGATAGAAATATTGGCTACGTCTGAGTCAGCATTGGTATAGCTGTTGCCAGTGTTCCTGGATTATTAACATACTATGAAACGCGCTGCTCTTCCCCTAGTTAAGGTAAAAAACCTGCACTGAACTCTCCTTTAAAGAGAGGAAGGGACCTATTCTTAAGTAAGTTGTTACTGCATTTCTGCTCAACGTAGGAATGTGAGTTTGCTGTGCCTGAGATCCACTTCTCCTACTTAGATCTGGCATTACTTTTGTTGACACTAATCAGTACAGGAACTCTTTCAGGGAATTCTTGCTGGGAAAATTGTGGTATTTCATTTTGGTTGCACAGCAAAGCAGGTGCTATGTATCTATGAGTACATTTTTTCAGGTAACAATTTGTATTCCTTTTGTTTAATTAGAAATATTCATAACACTTTAATAACAAGCTGGAAGGTACAGGAGAGTTTAGGTAGGATAAATCTCCCTGATCTTTACATAGATAATTTTCCACTTTTCTTTTTCTTCCCAGTTTATATAGTAAAGAAAAGTTTCTAGTCTATACGGTGTAGCCAGTCTGGAAAAAGAAAAACATTTACGTTGTTGTAATACTGTGTCTGTTACATCACTCCTGAGACGAGGCTGATGGAATGTTCTGGTGTCAAATGTCACAGCTCTCTCCTGTGGCCAGTAATGATTGATTTAAAGATATCATAGTTACTTTTTGAGCTTGTTCAATATTATAAATTGTTCTCTTAATTAGAAACTTTCAGAAGAGAAAATGTATCTCTAAAATTAAACAGTGTTCCCTGGGAGAGAGCTAAATTTCTTTAAATATCCAATATTATATTATCCTATATATATATATATATATATATAATCCAATTATATATTATTCAATGTATAGGTCTATTAGACACTTAAATATTTTTTAGCCTAGGTTCGACACTCCATCCCATCTCCCTGCAGTAGTTATCAACACCTTAAAGGAATACAACCAGATTAGATACTGAGAGGAGGAAAACCTTTCAAATATGAATTCTCCATACATAAATTTTTAATTTCCCTGTCTTCAAATCATTCCACACTACAGAGCTGAAAACTGGATCTGGAATACACTTTCTACATCAGAATCTGCCCTTCCAGCTTTTTCAGCCCATATACTGCCAGTGAAACAGCAGCTTCCATCCCTTTGCAACCTTTGTCTGCTGCTCATTTTTTGTCATGGAGAGACCTGGGAATCTGGATGTGTTTACTGTGATTGCTGGTGATTGTTCCTCGCTGCTTCTTCTACATATTTCATTATACTTAGAGTTTATCATGTAAATCTTCCCTGTGCACAGGTGCAATCAAAATGGAGCCTCCTTCCCCACCCTATTTTGCAGAGAAGGTTCAGCTGTACAACAAACCTCACGAGGAGTCTTCCAACTCACTCATGGCCATCGAGTGCCGCGTGTGCGGGGACAAGGCCTCGGGGTTCCACTACGGGGTTCATGCCTGTGAGGGCTGTAAGGTAAGGGGGGCACAAAGGCACTTTTTCTGAAGACTCGATACTATTTTTCATCTGAATAATCACTCAGTAAAATCACAGATCTGTGCTTTTAAGAAAACAAAGTTTCAGGTCTTTAAGGAAATTGTTCTGCATGTACTTTATGACTTCATAAGTGTTTTTTAAATGAAACTTGCTTTTTCTTGTCTACCTTACTATTTATTCAATTTTTTTGTGCATTTCTTTCACTTTTGTCAATTATGCAATTATATTTCATTCCTGCTGTCCTGGAGGTCACATGCAGAATCTGAATTCACAGAACGCAGCAAAAGCATACTTGTGCCCGACTCCAAAGCACTGAGCAATTTAAAATTCAGGCTCTGTTATTCTGATTGATTAGAGTTTCTTTACCCAATTCACACATTTAGAGAATTCTAATGGTATTAAAGAGTGTGGCTTTCTGCTTTAAAACTCCACTTTTTTTTATGTCAGTGATATTTAGTGTTCATAGCACATAAAGGAGAAGTGGATGGTGTAAAAATTGCAGTCCTCAAGAGTGAGAAAAGAAATGTCAGGGAAAGAAATCATGATAATTTATTAAGTTCAAAGAAAAACATTAGAGTTTAATGTGAAACTTCCATGTTATCTATTTCCAGTATCTTGAGGAAAATAACTAATAGGAAAGATCCAATCCAGAGCTTAAATAAAATTTTAACATTGAATTTGGAACACACATAAAGCAAAAAGTATTAGGTAGATTACTTAAATTACGGTGAATTATATAAGAGTTGACATTATGCTTTTATTATTCCCTGTGAGATAAAAATGGTGATAACTTTGGATAAACTTTATTAATTGATTATGAGTGATCTGAGAAAGCACCTTTAGACTATAAAAAGAGAAATAACCCACAACATTTTTTATTTGCTAGAGATCAAACTGCTGTTGGCAGAATTTTTTGTTTGTTGTGGTTTATAAAAAATTTTCTACATTGGTAGTGAACTTCAAATTTTGAAAATGTCCTGTTTATTTCATAGTAAATTGTCCCATGAGCAGTGGAGCAAATGGAGCTTTGCTTCCTTTGGCATTGTGCTCTTCATGCTCAGCTCCCAACTTGCATCCCCAGTGTCCTTTAAACCCCACTGATTCCCATAAGCTTTGCCAGCTTTCTGAGAATTTTAGCCCTCTGTCAGTTGAAAATGCCGGATGAGATCAGCACAGGAGCAGACAGGATGGTCACAGGAGCTTTGTTTCCTTTGGAAATCCATCTGACCCAAAGGTCAGTTCGCTGTGTGTGTAGAGAAGGGAGATGGTGACACTGGCAGTTCCTTGCATCCTTTTACATGTTTTTATGTTTACTGCAGGGCTTTTTTCGAAGGACAATCAGATTAAAGCTAATTTATGACAGATGTGATCTTAACTGCCGTATCCATAAGAAAAGCAGAAATAAATGTCAGTACTGCAGATTTCAGAAATGCCTCGCTGTTGGAATGTCACACAATGGTAAGTGCACAAAGCATATTTTAAAATAGCAGTGTTTCATCTGAAAAATAACATGGCACATGAATAAGATTATTGAATGTGCTGCTTTAACACCTGGGGTCTTCAGTTTCTTTACACCAGGCAGATCAGAAATATATGTTAGAGACATTGCCCCTGAGTTTAGGAGGCTGCATGTGACTGGAGATGACTTTCGACATAAAAATCAGAGAGGTGGAGATTTGCCTCTCTTGATGCAATACGTAATGTAACATATCAATTGGTTTTACTCTCCATTACACCCCTGGTAGTTCTCCCTGATCATATTTCCAGTGTAATTGTTATTTTTCAGTTCATGGTCTTGTTTTCTGACAAGGTTTTTTTGCATGCTGTAGCTCAATGTGTCTTTCCTGTAAGCTGAAAACTTAATAACGAAAAATGGACTACAGAATGTGCTGAAACTTTGGAAATAATAGCAACTTGAATTTGCAAGTGGAATTTGTAGTCTTAGACAGGCAAGGTGTTTGCAGTGCTCTCTGGTTCTGTGGTTGCCTTTACCATAGGTAAGCGGATTACATGAAGCATATCATGGTACTGCCTTCTTGCATAGAATTTTTAAGAAAGTCCCTCTGAACTTTAAAATTAACGGAACAATTCATGTGGAAATACTTATGAATGTTTGGACAGAAAGATATAATGAAGATTCTTTGTTGCCTTGCTTTGGCAAAGCTGAGTAAAAACAGGAATTAACTGTCATAACATAGAGACTTATGTAATTCTAAGGGTAAAGAATTGCAAACATGACTGGGAAAATAATTTCTCTGTGGTTTTTTTAGAACTTTCATTATTTTCTATATAAAAAATGAGTGTACTGTCCCCAAGAGGAAAGTTTAACTGTGGTTTGCAAAGTTAATACATGCACTGAATGTAAATTGGTATGGGAAATGTTTTCCTAATAGAAAATATGGTTTTCAAATTCCTGGGATGCAACAGTAACACTCAAAAATAAATCTAATTTTGAAATGCTACTGTGGGTATTTTTATAGTAATTCAGGAGGTTTTATTATTATTATTTTCGAGGTGCATGCCAAATTCTCCCATAACCCAGCAGTTGTGTCAATGGGAACCATGTGCAGTTCCATCGAGAAGGGGAGGGCCAAGACCATTCTCTCTGGCTTAGTAACATAAAGAATAGCTTTAAAATTAACATTTCACCTGCCATTCTTTCCTGTTCAGCCACTACCAAGGCAGAAGCTGTGGCACCGAAAGGGCCCGTGGTTACAGGAGCTGGAGGGAGGGATGGAGAGGAGCAGAAAAGGGCAAAGCCACTTGTCCCGGGGCTCAAAGGAACATTTTTCTTTGCTCCAGCCGGGAGTTCACCTAACAGGGCGTTGGTGTTTCTATTCCAGTATTGGCTTCTACATTTGCCTTGTTTGGTTTTTTTGCCCACTCTGGTTACATTACATTGCATGAAACGCCCTCATTCCTTCATAATTTATATACAAATTTATAACAAAGAGTGGAATTTCACCTTTGAAGACACAAGCCTTTATGGAGGAGCAAAAAGAAATGCAACACTGCATGTTGTCAATGACACTGAGACACTTCTTACTGTTATATCTACAAATTAAAGTTCATCACATCACATGGAAATTGTAAAGGCTTGGAATCAGAATGTGGATTATTTGTGCCTGAGGGTTCCAATCTATGTCTGTCTTTGTGTAGATATATTATTGCAAAATGATCAGGGCACTTGCAAAAATGGGGAATGCCAGGAGACACTGAGCAGCTACAGCCACATTTTTTCATGTATAAATGCTACATACCATTTGGCTAAAGGTTAAAAAAGACAGTAGTGTTCTCATGCCTTGAATATTGTTTTCCTTTCCTTCTCTAGTCACAGTGCTGCTCTGTGTTTAACCCTGATTTGCTCAGATTGTATTTTGAAGCACCACTAAGCAGAAGCTTGGTTCTCTTATTTTAGAAATGTCATTCACTTTTTTTCTCTTCTACTATAAGACTTTACTTTTATAAACCTAAGTACTGTAATGGAAAAAAGAGACATGGCAATATGTCTTTATCATCAGTTCTGGAAGCAGTGAATTGCTCAGTCTGGGCACATGCCTTCAGTAAGGTCAGACAGGTACCCACCTTGGTTTTATCTTGTGTTTTCTAATGTAAGAAACTGTATTTATGATCTGTGTGGGGACTCCTTTATGCTCAAAAACAATCTAGACAATCAGAAGAATAGAGTGTCCTACAGTGTGTCCTACAGAGTGTCTATAAGCAATCACAGTGACTTTTCCAGGCAGTAAAATCTGTAATTAAGGATAAATATTCTAGTTTTTCCACAGAAAGCCGGAGGATGTAAAGTAGCATACTTTACAGTGTCTTACCATATTGGTTTTATATTACTGATATTTGGAGAACTGCAAATGCAAGTAAAGGAAATAACTGCCAAGGAAAGACAGAGATCTCATGTTCCAGCTGCGGGCACATGCCCAAACTTGCAACATCTTGTATTGCTGGGAAAGAAGCTGCCACCTGAAGCCCTTCCACCCTCGCAGCAGGAGCAGCAAGCCCTGATTCCAGCAGCTCATGGGCTTGTCCCTGCCCTTGCCATCCCTACAGATTTGGATTGATCCCCTTCCCAGGCTCCTGGGAAATAAGGCAGTGGCTGAGGGCAGATGGAGGAGAGAGGAGATGAATAGAAAGGAGGATCAGTGGTCCAGGGTATAGAAGATGAGGCCAGGGGCACAGGGGAGGTGGAGGGCAAAGCAGGAAAGGATGTCACCCATCCTTGAAATTTTCCTCAACCACCAGAAGTGCTGTGAGTTCTTATCCACCCTCTGAACTCTTTTTCCAACCTAACCTTTGTAAGCATTGTCATCAGTCCCTTCTTTCTTCTCATCCAAAATCTCACTTTTCAAACTCCTTCCATAAACCTCCTGGTGCCTGACTTTTGTGTCAGTCCCTTGAAAATGACAATGACAATGATTTTTCCAAAAGGAAACCGATAGGCTGGTCTCACAAAACTAAATTTTGCCCCACATTTTGCCCACAATGCTGTAAAACATCGAACACAACCTGCTGCAACCAATATAATATTTTAAAATATATTCTAAACATTAAAAAAATGTAAGTCCTATGTCTATGAAACTATAAGATAAGAATGCTTGATTTACAACTCTCCATGTTGTTAATGAATTGTTATATTTAAAATATACTTTTGAGTCCTGATCACCTTTTCTTTAGGAACCTTTACTCTCATCATTCATGAATTAGATCAGAAATCTTCCCAACACTCATGTTCATGAAATAGGGACAGTGTTTAAAAGTGGGTCACGAAAGATCCACTGATACTAATGCACCCCAAAACCACTCATTTAGAAAGAAACAACCACATGTGGGAATGACAGATTGCTAATAAACAAAAGATCCATCAAAAAATAAAGAGGCATAACAGACTTCACCCCAAGTTTGGGGCAGGAAGAGACAACCCCACTGTGGCACTTGGTTTTTCCATTTCCACTTACAGAGAAGGAATTGAAAATCATAGTTTTTAAAAAATAAACCAGGAATATTATCTTTCTAGAAAAATTTGCCTCATGAGCCCCCATGCCAAGTATTCCTCAGAAAAAAATACCAAATGTCTATGCAGCTATAATCATGTGTCATTTGAAATAGTCTTTCTCTGCCTCTTTGGCCTTTCCATCCCTAGTACATTATGCATAAAGGTGTTTGCATTCATAAAATTTAGCTCAGTGAAGACAATTCTCTGATTTAACATTAATTTTTCATGTGGTTTTGACTGTATGTATAAAAATTATACAGTGTCTCAAACACATGGAAACAAAAATGAGACATGATTCCAATAAGGAAGAGTACTGAAAAATAATGCAGTAATGGATAATATTCAGCTTTTATAATATTTTTCAAGCAGACATCTCAAAGCACTTTTCAGGAAAATAAGTATCACCATCACAAAATAAAAATAAATGGCAAGTGAAAGAAGGTATCTACTCTAAAACTATTAACAGTAAATGAAGTATTTGCAGTATGATGAATTCCAATGCAATATTTAAATTAATAGAAATAATTTTATATTAGAAGCACTGGGGCTTATAACACCTGGCTGCTTTGCACAGGTAATTTGATGCCCTTTGCTGGGGATAAGCACACCAGAAATGGGATTCTGGAACACCCTCAGTCAATCCTATTTTGCGTTTAAAAAATAGGTTCAATGTAAGTTGTTATTTCTTATTTCCAAAGAGACAAGAGACTGCACAGGGATCCAGCTATAGGATAACGGGCATATTTAGCAAACATGGCATGCATTCTATGCTGTCACTTTGAACTAAGACTGTTTGACGCTGGCTTGCGAGAGTACATCAGTACATGAATGTGGAAAGCTTCTGTAAGTTTTAAAAAAGAAGCTATCCCCCTCGATTCCAGTGAACTTCCTTGAAAAAACAGGCACTAGTTGAATGTCTGAATTTCTAGCACTGTGCTTGTTACCAGTCTGGCTTCTGTTCTTTAAAATAATACAACTATAGAGCTTATTTATTCTCTAATGACAAAACAATCTCTGTTTTGGAAATCCCTGATCTTTTCAATAAAGTCTCTACATTGAACAACTGTGTGTCAATAATCAGGGGCACAGCTGGTGCCACATCACTAAGAATGTTCCAGGAGATACCTGATTAAAAAGGGGAGTGGCTAGTCCTTTCCAAAATAAACACCCTTAATATAATCATCTATATGTATGATCTTAACAGCACTTTTGCTTTATCCAAGGAAGACACTAATCACTGAAAAAATATTCATAATGTTTCTATTTCCCCCAAGGCCAAAATGCAAACTTTTTATTTCTTCTTTCCGTGTTTTTGTTTGTTTGTTTGTTTGTTTTGATGCTCTTTTGTTCTGTTTTGTTTTCATAATATAAAATCAATTCTGTTTACCAAAATATCATGTGATAAATCAGTCTTGGTCTTGATGGCTCATCTGAAAGACGACCCAGTTCAGTCCCCATATGAATAAATAGTGGCTTGGATAGTGAGTACATGGGTGTAAAAGTAGGAGATTTAGAGTCTACCCTGGGTTAGTATTGAGCAATTTTGAGATCACATGATGGTAGAACCATTTTGTGTTCTTTGAATACTTCACATACATAGAGGTACCATGAAGAACTCAGTCTTTTCTGGCTGTTTTTTTTCCCTGGACAACCCACTTTCTCATTCCATAATTCTTATGGTAACATTTTTTAGCACTTGCTACATTAAGTTCTGCTGAATTATTTAGGAATTTATTTCTGCAAGGCATGTGAGGGCTTTGTTTCTAAATAAATGAAAAATCTGAGATCCATATGGTGATTTGCCCCGAACAATACAAAGCTGAAAGGTGGTTCCTACCCTAAGCCAACAGAATTTTAATATCTTAAATATTCTTTAGATTTTATTTAGATTGGAGGCAGAATCACGGCGTTTCACCAACCCTGTTGGGTGAGCTGACAACAGATTTGCATTTCCAAGCAAGGTTTGGGCACATAGATTATTTCCTCTTAGAGGTTTGTTTGTTTACATTTCTTTAAAGCTCTTCAGCTGGTTTGCTTGTACTTCTGGAGAAGATCCTTCTTTCTCACTTGCCTTACCGCTGGTTTAGTATAAGCTTCGAGAGGCCACAACAAAAGGTGCCAGCAAAAGCTCCTCAGGTGTGCTTTTGGAGGGGCAGGCACAGCCCCGGTAACCGCTTGTCCTGTTCTTCAGCCATCAGGTTCGGGCGGATGCCGCAGGCGGAGAAGGAGAAGCTCCTGGCAGAGATTTCCAGCGACATCGACCAGTTAAACCCCGAGTCGGCCGATCTGCGAGCGCTGGCCAAGCACTTGTATGACTCATACATCAAGTCCTTCCCCCTGACCAAAGCCAAGGCGAGGGCGATCCTGACAGGAAAGACGACAGACAAATCAGTTAGTTCCCTCTTTTTTTGTCTTCCTTTCTTTTGAGTAAATGATTTACCGCGCTGACAACACATGTCTTTAAAAAAAAAAAAAAAAAAGAACAACTTTGCTGTTGGCAGTTACATATTTCAAGCTGT